TGCAGCAAGATTGGGGAGGGGTGGGGAGGGCGGCCTGCGGACAGCTAGAGCTTTGCTCGCAGAGGGCCGAACGGCGTGTCCGGAGGCACAAGAGCAGCATGTTGATGTACGTGATGCTGATGCTGATGCTGCTGGTGGTGGTGGTGACGATGACGATGATGACGATGGTGACGATGACGATGATGACGATGATGACGATGGTGATGATGGTGATGAGGGACTCGTACCAAGCAGTCTTCTTGTCGATGACGGAGACGGCGAGGAGGAGGACGGAGAGGATGCAGGAGGAGACGCGCAGCACCGGGTCCCTGGTGATGACCAGGGTTGTGTGTGTGTGGGTGGGCTGTGGGGGGTGAAGGTAGCCGAAGGGCAGAAGGCTTGAAGGGGGGCGGCAAGGGAGGGAGGGGGGGATGGCGATCGCCTGTGCCCGGCAAAGATCAAGTCAGGCCTCAACGGGCATCGGGCCGGAGATGTGTGGAGGCAGGCGGGAAGGGCTCGCGCACGGCCCGGTGCTGAGCAGGCGCTTTCGCGTGTCGGCCGGCCGGGACGGGGGAGGTGCAGCAAGATTGGGGAGGGGTGGGGAGGGCGGCCTGCAGACAGCTAGAGCTTTGCTCGCAGAGGGCCGAACGGCGTGTCCGGAGGCACAAGAGCAGCATGTTGATGTTGTACGTGATGTTGATGCTGATGCTGCTGGTGGTGGTGGTGACGATGACGATGATGACGATGATGACGATGGTGATGATGGTGATGAGGGACTCGTACCAAGCAGTCTTCTTGTCGATGACGGAGACGGCGAGGAGGAGGACGGAGAGGATGCAGGAGGAGACGCGCAGCACCGGGTCCCTGGTGATGACCAGGGTTGTGTGTGTGTGTGGGGGCTGTGGGGGGTGAAGGTAGCCGAAGGGCAGAAGGCTTGAAGGGGGGCGGCAAGGGAGGGAGGGGGGGATGGCGATCGCCTGTGCCCGGCAAAGATCAAGTCAGGCCTCAACGGGCATCGGGCCGGAGATGTGTGGAGGCAGGCGGGAAGGGCTCGCGCCCGATGCTGAGCAGGCGCTTTCGCGTGTCGGCCGGCCAGGACGGGGGAGGTGCAGCAAGATTGGGGAGGGGTGGGGAGGGCGGCCTGCAGACAGCTAGAGCTTTGCTCGCAGAGGGCCGAACGGCGTGTCCGGAGGCACAAGAGCAGCATGTTGATGATGTACGTGATGCTGATGCTGATGCTGCTGGTGGTGGTGGTGACGATGACGATGATGACGATGATGACGATGGTGATGATGGTGATGAGGGACTCGTACCAAGCAGTCTTCTTGTCGATGACGGAGACGGCGAGGAGGAGGACGGAGAGGATGCAGGAGGAGACGCGCAGCACCGGGTCCCTGGTGATGACCAGGGTTGTGTGTGTGTGTGTGGGCTGTGGGGGGTGAAGGTAGCCGAAGGGCAGAAGGCTTGAAGGGGGGCGGCAAGGGAGGGAGGGGGGGATGGCGATCGCCTGTGCCCGGCAAAGATCAAGTCAGGCCTCAACGGGCATCGGGCCGGAGATGTGTGGAGGCAGGCGGGAAGGGAGGCGGAAGACGATCGGGGGGAGGGGGGGGGGGCTCGCGCACGGCCCGATGCTGAGCAGGCGCTTTCGCGTGTCGGCCGGCCGGGACGGGGGAGGTGCAGCAAGATTGGGGAGGGGTGGGGAGGGCGGCCTGCAGACAGCTAGAGCTTTGCTCGCAGAGGGCCGAACGGCGTGTCCGGAGGCACAAGAGCAGCATATTGATGATGTACGTGATGCTGATGCTGATGCTGCTGGTGGTGGTGGTGACGATGACGATGATGACGATGATGACGATGACGATGATGACGATGATGACGATGGTGATGATGGTGATGAGGACTCGTACCAAGCAGTCTTCTTGTCGATGACGGAGACGGCGAGGAGGAGGACGGAGAGGATGCAGGAGGAGACGCGCAGCACCGGGTCCCTGGTGATGACCAGGGTTGTGTGTGTGTGTGTGGGCTGTGGGGGGTGAAGGTAGCCGAAGGGCAGAAGGCTTGAAGGGGGGCGGCAAGGGAGGGAGGGGGGGATGGCGATCGCCTGTGCCCGGCAAAGATCAAGTCAGGCCTCAACGGGCATCGGGCCGGAGATGTGTGGAGGCAGGCGGGAAGGGCTCGCGCACGGCCCAATGCTGAGCAGGCGCTTTCGCGTGTCGGCCGGCCGGGACGGGGGAGGTGCAGCAAGATTGGGGAGGGGTGGGGAGGGCGGCCTGCAGACAGCTAGAGCTTTGCTCGCAGAGGGCCGAACGGCGTGTCCGGAGGCACAAGAGCAGCATGTTGATGTACGTGATGCTGATGCTGATGCTGCTGGTGGTGGTGGTGACGATGACGATGATGACGATGGTGACGATGACGATGATGACGATGATGACGATGGTGATGATGGTGATGAGGGACTCGTACCAAGCAGTCTTCTTGTCGATGACGGAGACGGCGAGGAGGAGGACGGAGAGGATGCAGGAGGAGACGCGCAGCACCGGGTCCCTGGTGATGACCAGGGTTGTGTGTGTGTGTGTGGGCTGTGGGGGGTGAAGGTAGCCGAAGGGCAGAAGGCTTGAAGGGGGGCGGCAAGGGAGGGAGGGGGGGATGGCGATCGCCTGTGCCCGGCAAAGATCAAGCCAGGCCTCAACGGGCATCGGGCCGGAGATGTGTGGAGGCAGGCGGGAAGGGAGGCGGAAGACGATCGGGGGGAGGGGGGGGGGGCTCGCGCACGGCCCGATGCTGAGCAGGCGCTTTCGCGTGTCGGCCGGCCGGGACGGGGGAGGTGCAGCAAGATTGGGGAGGGGTGGGGAGGGCGGCCTGCAGACAGCTAGAGCTTTGCTCGCAGAGGGCCGAACGGCGTGTCCGGAGGCACAAGAGCAGCATGTTGATGATGTACGTGATGCTGATGCTGATGCTGCTGGTGGTGGTGGTGACGATGACGATGATGACGATGATGACGATGACGATGATGACGATGATGACGATGGTGATGATCATCATCGCGGCGACGTGCCGGATCGCGTCGCGGTACATGCTCTCGGCGCCTCCGACGACCGCTCCGCCACGACGGGGGGGGTGTGTGTTTGTGCTGTCGGTGGAGAGGTGTATGCTACGAGTGGAGGGGCGCAGGCGCTCACGAGCAGCGTCGATGCACCTGCGAGGGAAGGATCGGGGGAAGATATCCCGGGTAATCTCCCTCGCTGATTGCAAGAGTGCTCTCTCTGATTGCAGCACTCGCCGGGCCATCAAGAGTGCTCTCTCTGCTCGAGAGCGTCTTCGGAAGAGAAAGGGGGGCTCGGGGGGAAGGGGGGTCAAGAGGGCCGCACCTACTCACAGCGGACGCAGCTTGAGGCCCAGCACGCAAGAGGCCGCGGCGATCCCCTTCGCCCACGTTGTTTTGGATCTGCGAGCGCGCGGGCGACGGCTCGCGAGCGTCAGAGCCAAAATGGGATGCGCATGGTGCGGGCTCGTGCGCGGCAAGGGTAGGGAAGGGGCCGCAGTGGGCGCGTCTCGCGGCTCCACGATGGCAACGGCCGCAGCAGCGAGCGAAACCGGTGCGAGCGTCGTATGGCGGGAGCGGTGCGGGAGCGGCGGGTTTGCGAGCAGCAGGCGTCGCGGGGGTACTGGGCGTGCAGCTCGCGGCGCCCATTGGTGGCGTGGTGCGGCGGGGCGAGCGCGAGAGGGAGCGGAAAAACCTGGACTCACGAACACAAAAACCTGAGCGCGAGGGGGGTTGAGTGCAGCTCCACCGACGGAGCTCTCACACGGCTCGATCTCGGTACTACTCTCTCGAGGTCTCGCTGATCTTTTCCATCAACCCCCCGACGGCGAAGGGGCAGGGGCAGCAGCATTCCTGAGATTGCGTGTCGTCGATGTTTGTGTTTCGGTCACGGACCTAAGTGCCTCGCCTTCCTCGCAGGAGTAGCATAGGCGGCTCCGGTGGCCTCTCGAGGTTCTCGAGGTGGATATCCTTTGGCCGCGTTGGGTAGCGAGGATTGGTGTAACCCGAGCCACGGAGGCGTGTTTTCTGGCGGCCGACCGTCAGTGCACGGAGTTGCCACTTCTCCGACTGCCCCGGTTAGTTCCCGAGGTCGTCGGGTGTGACCCCTTCGTCCCCCGAGACCTAGCGCGGGTGGGTTGGAGGGGGCTCGCCCCGTTCCTCCCCATCGGGCCGCATGAGCGGCCACGCCTCGCAGATTCGTTTTTCGCGCCTGGGTCAGGCGCGCGGGGCATCCCCCGGGTCGCTCGACCAGCGATCCGAAGAGTGGCCACTATGCGAGGGACAGAGCGGGGCCCTCGGGGTACGCCTCCGTCCGGCCCCCTCCGAGGGGGGAAGGGAATTGCGGGGTCCCCACGGGCGCCTCAGTTCGGCCCTCCCGAGGGGGGGGAGGGGAGCAAGGGGGTGGGGGGATCGGGGCGGTGGGGAGGGGTCTCGGTTTCATGTGGCTAAAACTTGCCCTTTCGGGGAGGGGCTTCCGTTGGAAGGCGAGCGCGGTTGCGCGCGCCCTACGTCTTCCCCTCCTCCCTCGAGGCAGCGAGTAGGCAGCGAGTGGAGGACTCGAGCGCCTACAAATATGTCAGTGCGCGAATGGCGATGGTAGTGGTCGGTCGGGTGGGTAGGAGAGCGGGCGGGCGGGCAGGGCGGACGGGCGGGCGGGGTGGGGGAATCGCGTATCTAGCGTTGGCAGCAGCCAGCAGTAGCACAGCGGCCAGCCGCAGCAGAAGCAGCAGCAGCAGCAGCAGCAGCAGCAGCAGCAGCAGCAGCAGCAGCAGCAGCAGCAGCAGCAGCAGCGCAGCAGCCTCGCCTCCTGCGGTGTCTAATCTTTCAGTCTATCTAGGCGGCCGCGAGGTTAATATACCAAATAATGGTGTCAAAACACCGGGGGTTGGTTGGCGCGCAGGCGCCTGAGGGGCCTCCGCCAGGCACGCATTCGGCTCGGCGTTGACCCCTCCACACGCTCCGCTAGACACCCTCTCACACGTCATGAACTCCTCTGGTCACGCGCGCTCTCTCTGTTTCTCTCGCTATCGATTTGTTTGGCTCCCATCTTGGCCTTCCTCCCTCCTTTCTTCGGCTTCGATTTTGTTCCGCGCGGCCGCTTTGCTGGTGGGGCACTGCTGCTCGCCTCGTCGCCTTCCGCCATCACGGTCGGCGCCTCGTCGTCGAGCGCCTCCCCTCGCTCGCGCCGCCCGAGGACCGTCTCGCCTCCTGGAGCACTGCTGCTCGCCTCGCCTCCTGCCGCCGTCGCGGCTGCCGGGCTGATCGTGTTGGACCCCGTCTCCGCCTCGTCGACGGCGTCGCAAATGCTCATCTCGTCCTCGTCGTCGCCGACTGGGTCGCATCGTGGGCTGTCGCCAGCGGTTGGGAGGTCCGCCTCACCCTCGAGCTGCCTCTCCATTTCTAAGTCGTCGCTGGTCGGCGCTGCCTCTTCGTCTGCTCGTAGCGCCTCCTCTCTTGCACTCGTCCGTTTCCGCTTTCTCCTCTGCTGGCGCCCGAGGTCATCTGTTCGGTCGCTCGCCCCTACCCCCTCCTCGCCCCCTCCGCTCTCTCGCCGCTCCCGCTCCTCGCTGGCCTCCAGGCGTAGATCTTAGCTAACGAAACACACGCTAGCTAAGGACAGGGTCGGACTGTGTGCTAGTCCGAGACCTACGGCCCCAGGGAAGAGAACCCTGGTGCACCTGTTCGCGGGGTTCCGCCCCACTAAGCAGGGCAACCTCTCTCGAGGCGGCTAGACTCTATCTCAAGCTCTCGCCCACCCGTGTCGAGTCGTTACACGTCCCCACGTCTCGTGCTAGCCGAGCCACCCGGCCGAGCCCAAGGCTATCCATTCGAGACGGACCTGCCCCGAGACGGCTTCGGTGGACGGCCGTGCACCGCGGGGTTCGCTCGGTATGGCCCCGATCCCCCGCCCCTCTGGGGAGAGGTGCCTGCAAGCAGGCTGGCGGGCTCTCGTGTCCTAGGGCTTCTACCGAATTTCCGGATGTCGCCTCGCCTGGGGCACCGACTCTCTGCCCCGCGCGCCGCCAGCCGCTCCCGCCGGCCTCGCCGACCAGCCGCTCAAGGCGGCCCCGTCGGGCGGCTACGCGGTGCGGCCCCGCGGCGCAGGCATGCAGAGCGGTGGGAGGTATCCCCCAGACAGACTTGCAGCGTCCCCCCCGGTGGCCTTGTTATGAGAAGAAAATACGTCCTATGGCGCTATGCGCTGGTCTGTGAGAGGTTGAGGTGCGAGCCCTGGAGGCCCTGGGGATGGGGGGAGACTACCCGCGGGCCTAGAAGGCCCGCGCGCAGGGGGGTGGGGCATTGAGACCGGTCATGAATGAGTGCGCGACACGCATGTTGTTGCGAGCAGCGTTGTTGATGTTCTGCGCGTCGCCACAGACGGCGGCGCGCGAGAGCTGTTGCGAGTGGTGCTGGCGACGAAGCCCCGGGCGCTGCCGGAGGCTGTGCCGTAGTCGGTGCGGTCGACGGCGCTCGGGCTGCCGACCTCTCACACTGATGCTGTCGCGCGTGCGGGGCTCGGGGGGGAGGGCTAGGGGGAGGGGGGGGGGGAGGGGGGGGGGGGGGGGGAACTTAAAAGAGGAACCAACCTTTTCCCAGGACCCCTTTTGGGGCCCCCCCCCCAGGGGGGGGGGTACCTTTTGTGAAACTGAAACGCGGAACGCGATCTGTCTCGCGTTCCTCAACGCTTGCGATTCAGCTGTCGCGCCGCTGGATGATCTTGCTCAGCTCGCCGAGCTCGACCTGAACGGTCAGCGGCGCGACCGCTGAATCGCAGCCGTTCGTGCTACACGCATGCTTCGTTACGTTTTCACATTACTTCCCCCCCCTCCCTACCACCCCGCCGGGCCATCGCGATCACTGATTTTTTGGATTTTTTGTCTTTTCACTTCGGCCGCCGCGCAGCACCTCCTCGCGCCCTCGGCCCCGGGCCTGGTCGATGGACAAGCTCAGAGCTGCGGCAGCGAAGGCGGCGGAGGAAGCCAAGGCGGCAGGCGCACAGCATGCGGAGAAGGCCGAGGCGGAGCTCAGAGCTGCGGCAGAGAAGGCCAAGGCGGCAGGCGCACAGGCGGCGGAGACGGCCGAGGCGGAGCTCAGAGCTGCGGCCGAGAAGGCCAAGACGGCAGGCGTGCAAGCGGCGGAAAGGGCGCAGGCGGCGGGCGTTCAGATCTCGGCGAAGGCCCAAGCCGAGCTTGCCCAGGCGGCAGAAAGGGCCAAGGCGGCGGGCGCCGAGGCGGCAAGCAGTGCGCTGGAGAAGGCGGCCACCGCGAGCAAGCCGCACCTTGACCGGGCGGCGGCGGCGAGCTCTGAGGCGCTCGGCGAGGCCGCCGACTTGGCTGCATCGGCGAGCAAGCTGGCGGCCGAGCGAGCGGCGACGGCCGGCACGCACGCGGCCGCAGCCAGCAAGCTTGCGGCTGGTGCCGCGGCGGAGCAGGTCAAGAAGGCGAGCGGCGCGGCTCTCGAGCAGGCGTCGGCCCGGCGCACGGGGGCTGTGCCTTCCAGCACATGCCTTCCAGGACGTGCATGTGCAGGACATGCACGGGGCATGCCTACAGGCGTCAGCCAGGAGCACCGCCTACCTGCGGCGGCTGCGCAACCAGGCGCTGAAAGAGGCCCGGCTCCCCAATCACCTCTCTCCTCACAGCAATGGATGGACAGGTGGGGAAGAGTCTGAACGCGGTATGGGTGGCACGCTAGCGACAGAGAGACAGCCACACTGGAGCGACACACAAGACCCACAAACCAGACACTCGGCCAGCTGGGCTGCCAGGTGTTGGGTGCGATCTTCGCGGGACTCGCCGTCTACTCCTTCGCCTCCAGCGCGCCACGGCAGATCAAGGAGTACCTGCTGGAGAGGGAGAAACTCAAGGGCGGCGGTCACTCGGGTGTCGACACGCCGCGCCCGGGCGGGAACGAGAGCAACCCGCCGGCGGACGAGGCGGGAGGCAAGCCGTGGTGGCAGGTGTGGCGGTGAGCGGGGTGTGAGAGCATACGTCGCGACTGTAATTTGTGTAAGAGATGAGAAACAAGAAATCACGGGGAAGGGGCCACGGTCGCACAAGGGATACCTGATCTAACCCCGTATCGCCCCCCACGTGCCCACCTGCCAACAGCCAACACCCCTCCCCGTTTCTCGGCCGGTCGTCCCCACTGACGTCGCTCTCCTCTCTCACTGTGTGGTACAGCACGTGTCTCTCGCCTCAGACCCCGAGGGGCCCCGCCGCGCCCACTTGCTCGTGCACCTCGCCGCTCGGCAGGATGACCTTGAGCGAGCCGTCCGCAAAGACAATCTCCTTGAGGCCGTCAGCAAAGTGGCGCTCCACCTGGCCGTTCGGGAAGTGGTAGAGCTGCGTGCCGTCGGGCTCCGAGACCTAGCGCATGGATGCAGGCGAGGGAGGGGGTGGGGGACGGCCTCTCGAGCCCCTCCTCACGTCAACCCACCGAGCAGCTGCCTGCCGTCGAATACGGTCGCCTCCTCGAGTGCCAGCTGGAGTGCGAGAGGCAGCTAAGTCCCGCATCTAGGGCTGCCGAGACGTGCGTGGTCTCTGCCTCTGCGTGGTAGTAGACGACGCGCCGCGAAGTCGCCGTCTGCTTGACGTCGCCGTTGCAAAAGAAGACCGTCTGCAGCCCGCTCGGCAGCACGTCCTTGCGCGTGCCCGTCGCGTACAGCACCTCGCACCGGCCGGAGCGGTAGAGCCTCTCCACCTTGCCGGCGGCCAACCTCGGGTCATCTCGGTGTCATCTCGGGTGCTCTCGGTTCATCTCGGTGTCATCTCGGGTCATCTCGGGTCATCTCGGGTCATCTCGGGGCATCTCGGGGCATCTCGGGGCATCTTGGGTGCTCTCGGAGAATCTCGCGTGCTCTCCACCTTCCCGTCGGCATGCGAGTCCTCCTGCACCGGCCGCCCCTCCTCCACAGGCAGCGGCTCGAAATACGGGTTCGCAGACAGGACCGCACACCCGTGATCGCGGCTCATCCCGTGCAGCCGCTCGGCGGTGGCCGCCGCCGCCGCCTCGGCCGCCGCCTCGGCCGCCGCCTCGGCCGCCGCCGCCGCCTCGGCCTCTGCCCTCGCCTCCGCTGCCGCCTCCGCCTCCGCTGCCTCCGCCTCCGCCGCCTCCGCCTCCGCCGCCTCCTCCTCCGCCGCCGCCTCCTCCTCCGCCGCCGCCTCCGCCGCCGCCTCCGCCGCCGCCTCCGCCGCCGCCGCCTCCTCGTCCTCCTCCTCCTCCTCGTCCTCCGACCGGAGGTACCTAATCTCGGGTCATCTCGGGTCGTCTCGGGCAATCTCGCCCTCCTCGTCCGACCGGAGGCGGCACTCGGACGCGTCGTACGCCGCCGTGATGCCGACGCCGCCGCCAAGTCTGCCGCGACCGTACTCACCGCTGCCGCGACCGCACTCGCCGCTGCCGCGACTGTGCTCGCCGCTGCCGCGACCGTGCTCGCCGCTGCCGCGACCGTGCTCGCCCGAGACGAGGCGCGACGGGTGCCTGTGCGTCAAAGTGAGGCATGGCCCCCTCCCCCCCCTCCCCCGCAGGGATGCCCCCCCCCCCCCCAAATGGGCGGGAAGACGGTCTCGCGCAGTGCACCCGCGGACCGCGTGAATACGCGGGCTTCGAACACGGCGGCGCAGCATCTAGGGAAAGGCACCCGCCCGCCCCGCCCGCAGCGCCCGCACACGACGCGTCGACGATGCGCCGCGCGGAAACGTATGTATATGTACATCGCTCCGGCGGGGGCTTGCGCGCGGCGTCGCGAGGCTGCGCCGCGGCAGGGGGGGCAGCGGCGGTCGCTGCAGCGAGGCGCGCCCCGCCGCCGCCGCCGGAGCCCAAGCAGGCGCGGCGGCCGATCGCCTGGGAGAGGAGCTCAGAGGAGGCTCAGAGGAGGCTCGGAGACGGGTCGTCGGGGCGCGGCGGCCACTTGCCTGCGATGCAACGACGCCGCCACCGCCGCCGCCGGCCGTCCCTCGGCGAGGGGGCGCGGGCGCCTAATCTCGGGTGATCTCGCGTGATCTCGGGGCCATCTCGGATGCCCCCCGGCGGTGGACGCGAGCCGCCGGCGCGGGCGGCGCGGGCGGCCCTGCCGGCACCCACGTCTGGCTCGGACCGGGCAGCCAGGCGGTGCCGAGGCGGGCTCGCTCGAGGATACGCACCTAAGACGAGGTGAGGTAAGGCCAGGCTTCTCCACACACACACACACACGCGCGCGCGCGCGGGTGGCGGGGCACGGGTGGCCAGGCAGACCTCGCGGCTCCGCGTCTAAAGACAGGAGCCGGCGCGGCGTTCAACGGTGCAGGGCCCAGAGCGCGTGGGAGGCGCACACCTCTTCCTTAAGCTCGCCAACCTCCGCCTGGGAGGACGCCACCTGCCTGTGCAGCCGCTCGGCCGCGAGGCGCCAGCGAGATTCCTTTGCCTTGCCGTCGGCTCGCGCGGCCTCGAGCTCCCTGCGCAGCGCCTCCACCTCCTCTCGCTCCTTGCGATCGGGCACCTGGGGGCGGTGGGGGCGGTGGGGCGGTGGGGGCGGTGGGGGCAGCGGAGGCGGTGGGGGCGGCGGTGGGGGCAGCGAGGGCGGTGGGGGCGGTGGGGCGGCGGCGGCGGCGGCGGCGGCGGCGAGGGGCGGCGGCGGCTGTGGGAGTGGGAGTGGCGAGGATGGTGGGCGGGCGGAGCTCTTCAGAGGGCTCTCTACCGAGTCGGCACCTTGAGCAGCGCCTTTGCCTCGGGTAATCTCGGGTAATATCGGGTAATATCGGGTAATCTCTGGTAATCTCGGGTAATCTCGGCACCTTGAGCAGCGCCTTTGCCTGCCGCTCGAGGACCCTCCTCTCGCGCACGAGCCGCGCCGTCTCGCGCGCCTTGTCCGAGTCACGAACTAATCAGTCGATTGATGAATGAGTTCCCTCAGTCAAGCCGCGCCGTCTCGCGCGCCTTGTACGCCTCGAAGGCAGCCACCTGAGGGGAGGCGAGGTGCACGTCGCCTCCTCCTCTCACTCTAAGAGGTGGTGGGGCAAGGGCCAGGCAGTCCCTCGCGACTCCACAGCATTGAAAGTGCAAGGCCCAATGCGCGTGGGTGAGCGATGTGTGCGCGCGCGCGTGTGTGTGGTGATGTGTGTCTGAGTCTGTGTGCGGCCACCTCCTCCGCCTGCCGCTGCTGCTCCGCCCGCAGCGAAGCGGACCCTGACTGCTGCGCGAGCCGCAGCGCTGCCTGCAGCTCCGCAACCCTCGTCCGAAGCGCCGCAGCCTGTGGACATCTCTCCGACAGCTTATGGACGCGTCATGGACACGTCCAACCCTCGCCTCCGAGCGCCGCTGCCTCCGCCCCGGCCGCCTGTGCCGCCGCCCGAGCCTCCTCTGCCTCCCGCGCCGCCGCGGCGTCCTCAGCGGCGTGGCTGTCGCCGCCCTCCGGCGGTTGGGCGCGAGCGGGCGGCGAGGAGCAGGAGGGCACGCTGGAGAAGGGCACGTGCCTCCCCCCCCCCCCTCCTCCAGAGCCGCCTCCGAGCTTACCCGCGCCAAACAGCGCCGCCACGAGGGTCGACTGGGGCGGCGGCCCGGCGTCCTTGGTCGTCGCGCCCTGCAGCGGGAACGGCAAACTCTCTCTCTGTCTCTCTCTTCCTATCGCGGCAGCCGAGAGGCGGCGGCCGGCACAGCATGGAGGTACGAGGGTGTGTGAGACCGAGCCCGCTGACAGAGGGCCTTGCTTGTGTGCGCGCGTGTGTGCCGCTCCGCTGTGGCGGTCTCTCGCCCCGCAACGCCCGTCCACCGTCCTGGCGCGTGTGGTGTCTGTCTTCTACAAGTGTCTGTCTTTTGCCACGCAAGCCGCGCCTGCTGCTCGAGCGATGGCGGCGGCGGCGAGCCCGGATCGCTAGCCGGCGGCCCGGCCGAGGCAGCTCCCCAGCTGGCGAGCGGGGCGGGAGGCCGTGTCGACCTGGCGGAGGACGGCGAGGAGGAGGCGGCGGTGAGGACAGTGGCGGTGGTGGGGGCAGCGGCGTGAGGACAGCGCGGTGAGAGCAGCGGGGCGAGGGAGCATGTGGCTTGATCTCGGCTGCATCTCAGCTGGATCTCCGCTCCATCTCGGCAATCTCTCGCCTCAACGGCCGCAGGCGCGACGGCGAAGGAAGACGGCCTCGCGGGCTCATTGAGAACTCCGCAAACCCGTCGCTGTCGCTGCCGGCTTGGGCGTGGAGGCCGCCCGGGCTGTCGCCGGACTCGCCGTCGCCCACGTCGACGTCGCCGCAGCTCTCGCCGCAGCTCTCGCCGCAGCTCTCGCCGCAGTACCCGTGGCCGTGCTCGCGGCTGCTGGAGCCGCCGCCACCGCCGCCGCCGCAACCGCCGCCTCTCACCTCTGCAGGACGAGTGCCGCTCGGCGCGGGCGGCGGAGGTGGAGGAGGCTCTCCCGATCCCTCGGCAGGTCCCGCGGTGCACTCGGTCTGCAGAGTCTCCAACACGCGCGCTGAGAGCCGCTCGCCCTGTGCCGACGCAAGCTCCAGCGTTGGCGGCGCAGAGCCGTCACTGAAGGCGTCGACATCGCGAGCCGGCAGCACCGGCGAAAGCAGAGATGACTCGATCGCCTCAAAGTCGTCCGGCCTCGCCTCTGCCCGCCGGACGGGAGAGTTTGGCGGGAAACTGGGCTCTCGATGCCTGCGCCGGGGCTGAGAACCAGGCCTCGCGCCGCCGCCGCCGATCGCCTTCTCTCGAGCGGCTTGCTTCTCCAGCGAAGCTCGCCGGGCCACGGCCAGCCCGCCCTTGTCGTAGCGCGAGGTGCCCTCGCCACGACGCACAAAGGTGAATGGCATGCAACCGTTGTAATGCCAGGGTTCCGGCTCCTAGCCGGATAGGGGGTCTGCCGCCACTAACTCGCGCCAAAACGCCCTACCTACCTACCTATCCCCAGGCCGCGCAGCGAAGCGAAAAAAGATTAAAATAGCGGGTACCTACCTATTGCAGGGCCCTTTTGGGCGAAACAAGACCAACCTACCTACCTATCTGGGAGGGGCCAGCCAGTCAGTGGCAACAGACAGGCCCCCTATCCGGCTAGGAGCCGGAACCCTGGGGGGAGGCAAGATTCGAGAAAAAGAATTCTTGACCGCTCACAGCACACAGGAAAAGAATTCAAATCGCTTGCCTTTCCTTTGCGGAAAACGTATAGAGCTACATACTCGAGTAATACACTTGAGCACTTGAGCACTGGATAGGGTCGATTCCGCATGGTACGGGACCCCTCGATCGTCTCGCCCTCACTGAGAGTTCTGTGGTCAACGGGCGTTCGACCACACCACCGGCCAAGGCTACGTCAAGTCACAGCGTGGCCACTACCATGACGGTTGACGGGATCTTCGGCAAACGAAACAAGTTCAACCTGCTTCTCCACGAGACATTCGGCGGTGGCTTCTCGCCGCCAGCAGTTGCAAAGCTGTTGCAAAGACCATAATGCGGATCGAATCGACCCTATCAAGTGCTCAAGTGCTCAAGTGCAAAGATCAACCGCCTTGCGCGCAAGGCTCAACGCTCGGGCGTTGACCGCACCGCGTACCCTCCCCACTCCCGCCTCTCATTTGAGAGAGAGATTTTTAAAGACCAACAAGAAATCACGACTTTCACAGTGATTTGTGTCACACCACGCGGAACGCATCTCCATCGCTTCGGTGAAGGGGGTGAACCGCGCCATCCTCGATCGCCGTGCAAAGCTCGCTCGCTTCCAAGCTCTCACGCCGCGCGTAGCAAGGGCCGTTAGGGGCCTAGAGAACACAACCCCCCCTCCCTTTTCTCCCAGTAAGTAAGCTAAAAGTACATACATACATACATACACTGAGAGAGAGAGCGAATAAAAGTACGTACGTACTGGCGAGGTACTCCCACGCCTCTGTTTTTTGTCTGGCCGAGTCAACCCGAGGGCGAGCCTGGGCGAGACTGCGTCAGCTGTTCCTTGGCCTGTACGAGGGTTTCCGGCAACCCAGAGGGAAACCAGAGGGTCCCCAGCACTTTGCGTTTCCGGAAGTTTCCAGGGAAACCAGAGGGTGTTTGGTGCTCCATTCTGTTTCTCTCGAGTTTCCCTCGGGAAACTCGCGAGTTTCCCTGAGTCTGAGAGCTGGTCTGGGGCAAAATCTGGGGCAAAATTGAGGAAATCGGCACGATACCCAGGTATTTTCCAGGTATACCGGGGTTTTCCAGGTATACCCGCAAAATACCCGGTATTTTGCCGATTTTGGCCCCAAAACAGCCTCAGACACGGCTCAGAGCCCCCCCAAAATGACGAATTCCACGGAGTTTCCCCGGGGTTTCCCGAGGAAACTAGAGGGTGTTGTAGGGAAACGAGCAGGAAACACGGAAAGGAAACCAGGTAGGGTGCGAGAGGAAACCCTCGTACAGGCCAAGCTGTTCCCACAGCAGGCTGGAAGTGCCTCGCCAGCGTACGTACACTGAAAACCACAGAACCGCCCTTTCAAAGTGAGTCTTTCGGTAAGCGCGGGTTAGCGCGGGTTCCACACGGGTTAAGCCACACTAACCCAGCACGGGTCAGCACGGGTTAGAACGGGTTACCATAACCCGACGCTAACCCGGCACTAACCCGGCACTAACCCGGCACTGAGACTAACCCATCCTAACGTATGCCCTCGAGCAGCGCGGGTTAGCGCCGGGTTAGTCTCGGGTTAGTGCCGGGTTAGTGCCGGGTTAGTGCCGGGTTAGCGTCGGGTTAGCGTCGGGTTATGGTAACCCGTTCTAACCCGTGCTGACCCGTGCTGGGTTAGTGTGGATTAACCCGTGTGGAACCCGCCGCTAACCCGCGCTTACCGATACGCGATAGACTCACTCCATACACGCTCAACTTACCGATAACGGCGTTGCCGCGGAGAGCACCAAGGGGCAAGGTGCAGCCAAGCCGTCCGAGGGAGGGACTAACCCGGGTTAGCGCCGGGTTAACACACTGGGCAAATCGGCCGATTTCCCTCCCGCTAAATCATCACGGCCCCGTAACACCCTCCGCGCGCGGTCAAAGGCTTCCCAGGGCCGGTCCATGACATGAACCGATAGACACAAGCAAAAAAACCCGCACCTCTAAGCTTATCGGGCACCCCGAGGCCCATACGGCGCCCCGGCGGGCCCCGGCGGAGGTCCGGCGCGGCGCTCCAAATCCGCACTTCGCGAGCTTCTACGGGAGTTCACGCGGCCTCTCCGCCTCGTGAGGCACACCCCACACCCACCACGAGCCCTGGGGCCGTGGGCGGACCTTTGGCCGCGGCGTCCGGAGCTTTAGTCGTCGAATATCGGCCGCCAACTAGGCCGTCGAGCGAACGTGTCCGGAGAGGCTCTCGGATGGGTCCGGCAGCGGTGCCATGGACCCAGAAGCTCGCCCCGGCGGAGCACTCACGGCTCGACCCCCGCCCCTGGTCACCCAGACGTGCCCTTGGACAGCCGTAGGGGCTCGCATGACGACGTTGGCGCCCGCGACGACGCCCTCCCCGACGACGTCGCATCTGGCAGACTACTCGGGCGCGGCGGCGCGGAGGATCACATGGTTTGGGACTCTGAGCGATGGCAGAGGCCTTTAACTGCAAACGAGGACGCCCCGCGAGGCCCCGTTGGCCGGGAGTGGTGAGTGGGACCATAAACAAGCACTATATCCCCTACCGCGACCAGCCCACACACAGCCCAAACCGCTGCCAAACCGGCCCTGGTCACGCCGGCCGGGAGGCTGCCGGGGCGCCCAAACAGTCCCTCACGAACGCCACACGGGCCACCACGGCCCGTCCGGCGGCCCGAGTGCCGCCCCACACCCGCCCGACGCCCTCGGCCAGCCAGCGCCCACTCTGAGAGGCTTCACCGCCGCCAGCGCGCCGAGCGCGCCGCCCTCTCCTCGCGCCACACGGGCCCCTGGCCGCACGCCCGAGAGGCGGCCCATAATTTGAGTCGAGACGCGCCGCCGGCCAGCCAGCAGCTCGCCCGCCACCCGCAGAGTGCCGCCGCCGCCCCCAGCCCGCACTGGAGAGGCTCTCCCGGCCGCTAGCCGCTGTCGCGTCGCCCGGCGGCTGCGCTGGCAGCGTGGCGGTGAGGGCGGTGGGGGAGATGGCGGCGGCGGGCTGGGCGGTGGCGGTGAGGGAGGTGGCGGCGACGGGGGCGGGGGTGACGGTGGCGGCGGGCTCGGTGGCGGCGGCGAGGGCGGCGGCGGCGAGGGCGGCGGCG